ACATATACATACAAACACACTTATACACACATCTGCATACATACCCATTAGGCTTGGTTGATCAAGAAAAAATTTGGTTCTAAACTTGTTTTGTTTCCAAGGGGTGCCAGCGTTTCGAATTTCAAAGGCCTTCTGAAATTGCTGATTTCAAAATTTCAAAATTTACTAAATTTCGTTAATTACGAATCGATTCGTTAATGGCGGACGCGATTGCGCAATGTGCGAAAAACATCTCCAAACGGGACAGGGGGAACTTCTGAAGCTTCTCTCTCCCTCTGTAGTTGACTGTTGGTGATAAAACTTACAACTAACAGAAGCCAAATTAAAATAAATTCAGGATGAAATTAAAATACATTAAGTTAGTAAAAATACAAATTAAAATCAATTAAAATCAATTAAATAATAAAATAAGAAAATAAATAAGAAAACAAGAAAATAAAATAATAAAATGAGCAATAAGATAATAAAATAAAATGTAATAAAACACATAAGTTAATAATAAAATACTATAAAAATATAGAAATTAAATAAAATAAAGTAAAAAATAAATAAAAATTAATAAAAATTGCACTTTGAAATTAAGTAAGGGTTTTTTCCTCTTTGCCAAACCTGGCAACAGACAGCAAATGTGCCTCTTTTTAGTGGCTGCAGGTAACAAAGAGTGGAGAATCAGTAAGGGGTTTTTTTTCCTTTGCCAAACATGGCAAGATACAGCAAGATTTCTCCTTTTAGGAATCAAAAGAACCAAAAGAACTGGTCTCTATCTTCGCCTGTGGCACCCACAAGCGGGCACAGCCACAGGCAGGCACAGCAAAGCACGCTCCTGCTCCCAGCACCCTGGACCCTTAACCACAGCAGCCTGAAGCCCCCCTTTCCCGTCGCTTCCCCGGCTCGAAATGGGACCACGAGGCACGCGCAGCCGCTTTTAAAGGCCAATGGCCGCCCTGCAGAAACCACGCCCCAATACCTGGCTTCTCCTCATTGGCTGGAAGCCCATCATTCCCAGCATCCCAGCACCTGTGACATCACTAACGAAGCTGGCGGAAGTAGTAGCATCTCCATCTACGAACCCACACGCTCACTCCGGTCATCTGGGGAGGCCCTGCTCGTGATCCCACCTACGTCGCAAGCGCGCTTGGTGGGGACACGGGACAGGGCTTTCTCTGTGGCGGCCCCCCGACGTTGGAATGCCCTTCCAAAAGAGCTTCGTCAGGCCCCTACTCTAGCAGTTTTCAGAAGGAACCTAAAAACTTGGCTGTTCCGATGTGCCTTCGCAGATTAGGAATCCCCCATCCCAAGTCCTAGAAGCACTTTAGCACAACCAATGTTACTGCACACCGCACTATTTAATCCTACGTTCCTCCTGCCATTTCAGCACTTTTAACCCTGTACCCCATTGCGCCGGCCGGCCCAGTTTTAAAGTGTCTTGATGTATTGACACTGTTGCTGTTATTTTGCTTAATTATTTTGATTTGCTTTGTTTATTGTTGTGTTATGTTTTTATTGTATTGTGTTTTGAGGCTTCGGCCTGTGTAAGCCGCATCGAGTCCTTCGGGAGATGCTAGCGGGGTACAAATAAAGTTAATAATAATAATAATAATAATAATAATAATAGTTTTCAAGATGGCGGCCGCGGCTTCGATTTGGGAAAAACACTTCCGGGTTCCTAAAACGCATCAAAATCGCTTCTAATTATAAAAAAAAAATAACTAATAAAAAACGAATAAAAAAATTAACGAACTGGATCAACCAAGCCTAATACCCATATAAAAAGACAAATTAAAATGTGACTTCCATTTTATTTCCAAACAGTACATCATCCAGTATTTCATGGTCTCCCTTCAATTCAGGAGGATAACCTATTTGATTTTCACCCGACTATACCAATAGCATGCATATTATGCCTCTCCATTTCAAGTCTTAATTATTTTTACATTCATATTTGCTTTTCTCATATTCCTCAAAGTCTGTCCAATCCGTCTGTTTCACTGGTCTTCCAGAGCTGTCTCTCAGGAAGAACGTTAATTTATCCATGTCTCTTATTTCTAATAGTTTGTCTAACCATTCCTCGGTTGTTGGGATGTGCTCGTCCTTCCAATGTTTCGTGAAGATTATCCGTGCTGCAGTAAAAATATATGTAAAGAGGATGTCCTCGTTACTATTTAAATTTAGGTCTTTGTCCGTGAGGCCTAGTAGAAAATATTCCGGGTTCCGTGGGATCTTTTTTAAAGGATTTTTTGTGTCTCTTCTCGTATAGCTCGCCAATATTTATTCGTTTCTGGGCACATCCACCACATGTGACAATAACTTCCTACTTGTTTTTTACATTTCCAGCATAGATTTTGGTATTTTTCATACATCAAACTCAGCTTTTGGGGTGTCATATACCATCTATGGAAAGTTTTCAGCCAGCTCTCTTTGAGAGCTACCGAATAAGTATATTTTAACTTTTTCCTCCAGATTTGCTGCCATTCATGAATTTTTATCTGTCTCCCTGTTGCATCCCAGATCAAGAAACGAGACCATAAGATTAAATCCACCACACTGGACTGTAGGAAAAACAATCCTTGTTTATTGATGAAAAATTGGTTACAAAAGAAAAGTAAATGCAAAGTAAAAAAGCCACAATAGAAACACAGCAGTCAGTAGAATCTCTGAACTTGAGCAAAATTCCAAAAGCCACAATACAAGAACCAGGAACCTGTTAGCCTCTCGCTAACCATGAACTTGAAAACTAGAAGCCTCTGGGATTACCAGCCATGGAACACAGGAATTCTGCCAAGGCACAGCCACAGTCCCAAACGTTGCTTGATCTAAATAGACACCCGGCAGGAGGCCCCTTAAACCAAAGAAGATATTCTTTGAAATGCCCCTTGACTTTCAAGCCTGGGCCTGTCTCTCCTGTAAACGATTTGACCTTTGTAGAAACTGTGAAACATTTCTGTCTCTAACTATTAGTTCTCTTCAGTCCTCATTAACAAACCCAGGTGAAGAGATATCACGGCTAGCTTCCAAAACATTTTCCTCCAGCTGTTCAGTTTCACTTTCCTCACCGCTGACCTCAGCATCAACAACAGATTGCACACTGTCAGGGGGAGCTTGCTCAGTTGGAAAAACTATCAGAGAATCCGGTTCACACAGATCAGGATCAGGCTGAACCCCAACACTCCCTATGTTTTTTGCCCATAATACCATACAGTTTTTGATTTCTTCTGTTTCAGTTTCCCAATCTAACAACTGATTATATAGTTTTGTTATGGCTTTCTTTTCTATTTTTAATAGTTCGTCCCATGTTGTCTATTTATCTTCAAATCTGACCATCTCGTCCTGTTTAAATATTTCCCGAATTTGGAAATATTGTAGCCTTGTTAAATTTTCGTATTTCTGTACCAGATCCTCCTGAGATTTAAGTTCCCAGGTGTTATTATTATTGTTTTTTTCCAATAAGTCTTTGTAGCTTGGCCATCGTTGCCAGCCCAGAAGCCTTCTTTGCTTTGCCTCAATTGGCGATATCCATAGAGGAGTTTTTATATAGAAATATTTTTTTATATTTATCCTATACTTTATTTATTTATTTATTTATTTATTTATTTATTATTTGGACTTCTATGCCGCCACTCCCCTGGGGCTCGGAGCGGCTTACAAGAACAGGCTAAAATCGAACACAATTTAAAACAATTTAAAACAATTTAAAAACAATCAGAGATCAAAGGCCCATCAAAATAGAAATGTCTTACATGCCCTGCGGAAAGCTGATAAATCCTGCAAGGCACGGACTTCAGATGGCAGAGTATTCCAAAGTGATGGTGCCACTGCTGTGAAGGCTCTGCGCCTGGTTGCTGTTAGATGCAAGGTCTTGACACTGGGAATTTCCAACAGATCTTGGTCCTCAGAACGGAGGGATCACTGGGGTTGGTAGGGGGTGAGGTGGTCCCTCAGGTACATCGGCACCAGACCATGCAAGGCCTTAAAGGTGAGTACCATCACTTTGAAAGTGATCCGGTGCTCAATTGGTAACCAATGCAGCTGCAGGAAGATTGGGGTTATGTGGCATCTCATCGGAGTTCCCGCAAGAAGCCGAGCAGCTGCATTTTGTACCAGCTTGAGCTTCCGGGTCACAAACAGAGGAAGGCCAATGTAGAGGGCGTTACAGTAGTCCAGTCTTGAGATGGCCGTAGCCTGGATCACCATAGCTAGGTTGTCCCTGGACAGGGAGGGGGCCAGCCGTCTAGCCTGCCGCAGGTGAAAGAAGGCGGTTCTGCTCACGGCGGAGACTTTGGCCTCCATCCTCAGCAGAGGGTCCAAAAGGACTCCCAGACTCTTGACCAACGATGATGGGCGTAGCGCCTCACCATCCAGGATAGGCAGCTGGATATCCCCACTGCCCGGTCGACCCAGCCATAGGATCTCCATCTTTGCTGGATTCACCCTCAACCTGCTGGCACGCAGCCATCCAGTAACGGCCTCGAGGCACTGATGGAAACAATCGGGTACAGAGTCCGGTCGGCCTTCCATCTTCAGCACAAGCTGAGTGTCATCGGTGTACTGATAACACTCAAGCCCAAAACCTCGAACCAGCTGAGCAAGTGGTCGCATATAGATGTTAAACAACAGAGGGGAGAGAATGGCCCCTGAGGAACCCCACTTTAATTAATGCGGACCTAATAAAATGGTTCCCAAAGTTTTTTTTCAATTTTTGTCTTGCCTACCCAATAGAATTCATGCAGTTTGGCACCATACCAACTGCCATAGCTCAATGCTTCAGAATCCTGGGAGCTGTCATTTGATGAAGCACCCAAACACTTTAGCAGAAAAGGCTGGTGACCATGTGAAGTTACAACTTTCATGATGCACCAAACTACAAGAATTCTACAGTGTAAATACACTCTAGGTCTGCCATTGAACATGCCCAAGTAATAGACCAGATGGTCCTTTAATGCTTTAGTCCATAGGACGCTTGCCATACTCTTAAGTTAGAAGAAAACCCAAAAACCAGAAAGTTATCGTGCAAAGTCAATTTTATTAAAGATTAGAAGTGCGGAAACATACAAGACGGAATTCAGAAAAGGAGAAAACATAAAGAACAGAGATGAATGAACAGCTACTCCATTACATGTACAGTTGCAGTTATTGTTACAAAAGGCTACGCAAAGGTTGTATTACATATTTTTGTGACTTCTTTGCCTCACCTCCCATGTATCCACTGAACATGGGTGGCACATTAACAGAGGAGTTCAGGCATTCTATGCTCTTCAATGTTGAAGAATTGGGGGGATAGAAAGAGGGAAACATAAGGGGACAACAGAGAGACATGTATTTAGGACGGTTAAAGAGAGAGGTGGCTCTGATGTCTAGTAGTGCTGAAAATTGGCCCGCTCCCATGGATGTCATCCAAGAAGGGGATGTTCAGCCCAACTAAACTCAGGCCTGAGTGTTCCATTGTGAGATGTTCCGTTGATCCATTTCCAGGGCCATAAGTCCATGAGAACTTACGCGCAGGGGCCACAGACGCTGCCTCTTCTCCCCAGGAATCCGGAACGCCCATAGCGCCCACCATATAGCCCACCATTTAGCCCACTATAAACCCCACCGTAATTCCCACCATAAAATCCACTACCAACTCCACTAAGGCCAACTCCATTCACAGCGCAAGGAGTGTTGCCTCCAACAAGGAGAGGCTCGGGGGTGGCGGAGAGGATGGGGCCGGGGATGGTGATCACAAATGGAGCTGGGTCAACCACGGCTTCTGATGGGGGAAGCTGGTTGATGCAAGATGGGTTCACTCCGGAGAGGACTCCCAAACTGGCTGCATCTGCAACGTTGCCCCCAAGGCCATAGCCAGAACTGAATCCATTGCCGAAGCCGAAGGTAGAGCCATAACCATAGCCAAGATTTCCGCCAAATCCTCGGGCGCCAAGACCATAGCTTCTTCCAAATCCTCGGGAGCCAAAGGCAACGGATGGAGTGGCTTCACAAGATGGGACAGCAGAGGCAAGTCCACAGTTGGCCATGGTGTTGAGTGATGGAGGTGAGTCTGAAAGAACAAGAGAGATGCCAAACAAAAGAAAGGTTTCAGCATCAACAGTAATGGTAGTAACAGACCTCACAAGGTGAAATCATTCATTTCATTCCAGTCTTTAGATGGGTATCTATTTAAATGTTGTTACCTAATTCTCAATGAACCCACCATGCAAAATGGTTGTGATGAGTCTACTTGACTTTGAACCCTGTGATAGGATTCAAATCTTAGACCAGTATTTCTCAACCTGGGGGTTGGGACCCCTGGAGGGATCACAAAGGGAGTTTCAGAGGGGTCGCCAAAAACCACCAGAAAGCACATATTTCTGATGGTCTTAGGGACCTTTTTGGTAGAGAAGGCTGAAGATCTCTCCACCTGTCCTTCTCTACCTTTTTAGTGTTGGTGAACTACAACTCCCAGAATTCTAAAACAGGCTCCCCCCAACCACACCAATATTCAACATTGGCCATGTAGGAAGTGTACCAAGTTTGGTGCAGATCCATTGTGGGCTGGGTTCAGAATGCTCTTTGATTGTAGGTGAACTATAAATCCCAGCAACAACAACTCCCAAATGTCAAGGCCTATTTTCCCCAAATTCCACCAGCATTCACATTTGAATATATTGAGTAGTCATGCTCATGGTCTAGATCCATCATTGTTTGAGTTCACAGTGCTCTCTGGCAAGGTCTATTTCCCCAAACTCCACTAGTGTTCACATTTGAGCATATTGAGTATGCGTGCCAAGTTTGGTCCAGATCCATCATTGGTGGATATAGTTGGCTCTCTGGATATAGTTGAACTACAACTCCAAAACTCAAGGTCAATGCCCACCAAACCCTATCAGCATTTTCTGTTGGTCATGGGAGTTCTGTGTGCCAAATTTGGGTTCAATTCCATCGTTGATGGAGCTCAGAATGCTCTTTGATTGCAGGTGAACTATACATGAAAGCAACTACAACTCCCAACTGTCAATGTCTATTTTCCACCATGCTCATTGGATGTAGGTATACTACAACTCCAAAACTCTAGGTCAATGCCCACCAAACCCTCTCAATATTTTCTGTTGGTCATGGGAGTTATGAGTGCCAAATTTGGTTCAATTTCATCATTGATGGAGTTCAGAATGCTCTTAGATTGCAGGTGAAGTATAAATGAAAGCAACTACAACTCCCAACTTCCAATGTCTATTTTCCACCATGCTCTCTGGATGTAGGTGAACTACAACTCCAAAACTCAAGGTCAATGCCCACCAAACCCTCTCAGCATTTTCTGTTGGTCATGGGAGTTATGAGTGCCAAATGTGGTTCAATTTCATCATTGATGGAGTTCAGAATGCTCTTTGATTGCAGGTGAACTATAAATCCTAGCAACTACAACTCCCAAATGACAAAATCAATACCCAACATCCACCTCCGATTCCACCAGTATCGGGTATTGTGCCAAATTTGCTCCAGTGAATGAAAATACATCCTGTATATCAGATTTTTTCATTACGATTCATAACAGTTATGAAGTATCAATGAAAATAACGTTATGGTTGGGGGTCACCACAACGTAAGGAACTGTACTAAGGGGTCACAGCATTAGGAAGGTTGAGAATCCCTGCCTTAGACCATTACACCATTACTAACACGGTATAGCTCTGAGTAAGACCATATTTGAAGAGATACAGATTTCAATGCAAGGAAGAAGCCATGCTTACCAGATCCTCAGATGAAGAGAAGGCAAGAGAAGGCAAGCGATGAAGCTGATGGAGGACTGTGGACAGGAGAGGGCTTTTATACTCTCTTGGTGACGTCCTCAGCTGTGACACCCTTTCACAGTTGAGCTCTTAATTACTGATGCTTCAAAATCTGCTGGTTTCATCATCTCCAAAATTACTTTAATAAGACCAAAACAATCAGAGCCAAGAATTCTGCTTCAATCAGCACCTTACAAGGAAAGTCAATGAAACAGTGCATCATTGTAGCCAGTGGGAATGTTTGTTCCCGTTCCATTGATCTGAGAAGACTCCACACTGATACTGAATCCAGACAAGACAGAGGTCCTCCTGGCAATCATCTTTGAGAGTTCTTGGAGAACGGGAGAAGTTCCAGCAGACTGGAGAAGGGCCAATGTGGTCCCAATCTTCAAGAAGGGCAAAAAGGATGACCCAAACAATTACCGATGTCCGGTCAGCCTCACGTCGATACCAGGCAAGATTCTGGATAAGATTAAGGAAGTGGTCTGCAAACACTTAGAAACAAATGCGGTCATCGCTAATAGTCAACATGGATTTATC